AGGGGCATGTACTGATCAGACATCTTTTGAAATTTGACAGGCCTGTCTATCATGAAAATTTTGACTCAAACCATAGCTCTAATACCACTAAATGTAACCCCCTCAGACCGATACGGATAACCCGATCCGATCTGGAGTGTCACATTAGGGCCAACGGAGCGACCCACTGTAAAAGTAGCGGAAAATTTAAAACTTTTCTTAAAACATGTAAAATCATAAAATGACTTATCAATGTTTAGAAATAAAACAAGTTTTCAGACTCATATATAAATAAAACAAGTTTTCAGACTCATATATAAAATAAAATACAATTACATGCCTCTTAATCACATGTACCATACTCTGATAACAACGCCGGAAGAACTCCCTTACAGAAGTTGATAACTGCACTGGTACAATTCTTTTAACCTGCAATGGTGAGTAACAGAGTGAGCTCTGGAAAGCTCAGTAATACATAACTACCAAATGATGTTAAAGAACGTGCAGATACAGATAAACATATATTTTCTTATTGGTTCCGAACATCTATGGATTTTTATGCAGAGCGGAGATCCTACTGATATTTCAGATAGTAACGAACAATAAGCTTTCAATTCAGATGGAAATATTTCGTATGTCTAGATTCAGGAGATCAGAATAGGTTATCTAGTTTGTTCCCGTAAAACCAGTAAAAAGATACAATATTTTTAAAAAAAACATATATATATATATATATATAATATATATATATATATATATATCTATATCTATATACACCTCTATCCTTTCACAATCTGTTTTTGTAGGTTCTCTGGAACCATACACCCCACACAACCAGTGAGGCACTGAGCATACAGCAGAGAAGCCTGCAGATATACTTCCTCCAGCAATAAACCCCCATATAAAACATTTCTCCGTTATCAAATGGAGATATCAGAAATCAAAACAGAATTCAGATCAGATATCAGAACAGAATACAGATAAGAAATCATAACAAAATTTAGGTAATGTATCAAAACTGAGTTCAATTCGGAATCAGATAAAATATTTATGTGATTAGGGAACACACTAGAGTTTTCAGATGTTATTCATAGATACTAGATAAATTATCAGGCAGAGAAACACGGATCTTCAGTATGCCAATAGAATACCAGATGGTAGAATCACTATTGGAAGAGATCAATAACTGATGGAATCATCAGTTATTCAGAATGAGACTTAAGCTAATAAGGAATAAATGAAGGTTCATGACCTTTACAATCTATGTCGATTAATCGGATTATCGAACAACTCCAGATGAATAGCTCCCATAACTAATACTTATCAGCTTGTCAATTCATTAACCTTCCAGGGTATTTACTCTTTAATACTAAATATTTTTATCTATAGATCATCTTCTTAGTCATCATTGAACAGATCTTAAAGAGACGAACATATATTCTAATGGTCTTTATTTTATTTCCATGTTTCAACTATACTAGGAAATGTCGACGTACTTGATTTATGGTTCATAATCCGTAGGGATGATACATCACGTAAGTTTATCCGAATTTTCAGGCTTATCCCAATCATTTACTTAATCCCTTATTCATTGAGGTTACTTAGTTCATTTAGCAATCAAATCCATTCCAGTTACTTCGGAGTCTCCCAGAGTAATTAACGTTTTCGAATTTCATATACATATTATACTTTTTTTCAGTTCAGTTCCGTATTCGTGGTTGACTTGTCGAACAAATATCCAATTCTTAGTACTGAATGTGGTTTAAAATTGAGATGAGCTGAATACTTCCAAAATTATCATCGAACCAAACTTGAGAAGACGAATATCCATTCAAATGATACATATGTCGTTCAGGTACTGATATATCATTAGCGTTGGTCAACTCACTTAAACTGAATTCCATAACTTTTAAGGGTAGTTCAACACCCATGTTTATTTGGATTCCTTAATTAATCCAAAACATTTACTTAGTCTAGGCCATAGGGGTATTTTGGTCATTTTGGTGTTCAGATTTATTCCATTCATTACAGAGCTCAATGATATCCCATCATTCCTGAGCTTGATGATATTCTTGGGTCATTTCCATTATAGATGTATTTTGGTCATTTTACAGATCTGGTGTATTTCAATCATTTCCTTCTATATGATCTTATTATTTAATTCAAACGTATCATCTTTTCCAGACCTTTCGAACAATTCTGACAGAATAACACCCTCGATAATTTATTCTTAACTCGTAGATTTTTAGGTCAATTGTCTTCTAAGAAGTTACCAACAGGTTATCAGGAATTTTCTGTACAAAGATTGAATCTTGATAATTAAATCCGTAATTTATCGAGTTAAGTACGGATCCTCAAAGTACTTTTTCATTTAGGGTCAACTCGGACTATTTTTACCTCTCAAGGGCCTTTTCGTAATTTCTTAACCAGATAACTTTGATATTAACTCTTAACGAAAATAATATAATTTAGAGATCTTATGGTTAATTTCTTTCCCGAACATTCTCTGATCTTGAAATGATTCCCTTAACAGTCTTCTAGCATCTTGCACAAACCCGTTTGGGTTTAAAAACCAGTTATCCAAATTTTCTATGCAAAACTATTATTTCTTATGCACATCTGTAATTATATCAGGATATTCTCATAATTTTCGTAATTTTACCATATCAGAATATTCTCATAATTTCCCATCCAAATACCTTTGATGAAATAAATTATATGATACAGATCTAAATTGATTCCTTTATCACTAAACACAGAAATTGTAAATTTAATTATAACAATCCCTCAATTTCTTATAAAAAGTCATATGAACCATAATCATTTACCAAATTTTTATCGTATTCGGATCGAGTGTAGAAATTAATTAACTACACATATGAGACTAATAATATCTTATTAATGCATTTTCCAATATTCACATGTTCCATAAAGCATAAATAGGTTGTAAAGTATTACCTCGATTTCCATGCCATACTGATCGACCATATAAATTCCTTTCGAACGCCCTCGATCTTGAAATCATCTTCCAATAATTCCTCAGATGCATATCAACAGAAATTACATAAAAAACAGAGCTTAATTCTGAAAAACGGATCGAATCGGGTGATAAATCAATCAAAAACAGCTTACATGGTTTGAATTTGACGAAACGGTCTTCAAATTCGGATTCAGAACGTCGAAAAACATAAAATATGACTTTTCAAAAATTTTGATTTTTTAGTCAAAGTCAACGGGTTTGACTGGCAATTTCGAGGCTTTCGAGTCTGAATTTTGAAAAACGGACTGCGAAATCAAACTCAGGACATCGAAAAACATCATGATAGATGTACCTGGAAAAAGTCAACGGCCGTTCAACGCCAGTCAAAGTTCTGGTCAACTGTGGTCAACCCAGGTCTACGGTCAACAGTCAATAGTTTTACACAAATATCACCCTAACAGAAATTAATTACAAATTTGGTCATATTTTAAAAATATTTACAAAACCATCACCCGAGTTTTACACAAATATCACTCTAACAAAAATTAATTACAAAATTATCACCCCTACGCGCAGTTGCGACGCGTGAACAGTGATACGGTGTTGGAAAAATTCCTAAAAATTATTTTAAGGCATTTTGAGACACTTACCAAGCTCGGTTCACAATTTTGAATGGTGGATAGCTCGATTCCGAAACATCGAAAACTTTAACTTTCTCACCCCTCCACGAGCTGCCGCCGACGGAGAAACGGAGGGCACTGGTGCGGGAGGTGTCAAAAACGGGTGGCCGGATCGGCGTGAATCGACGGAAAACCAACGAAAATTGAGTTAAAATCGACGATACTTCCGACTGAAATTAAGGACGAACGACGACGATTCACGACGAAAGGTTTGAGGGGTTTTGTTCATCGGTTGACAACGTACACGATGGTGGTTTCGATTCGTCAAACGGACGCCAGACGGTGAATAGATCGGAGTTGAAAGGAGGGTTGAAAGGGAAGAAAAATAGGAAACAATCTAGAAACTACGCACGGGGAAGGGTTTATATTTTCTCCTATAGAAAATTGGCTAAACTATGAGTTTAGCCACTGAATTTCCTGCACTTCTTAAAATGATCTGTCAACTTTGAAATTTTACAATTTAATCCATCGTTTCTTTCAAATTACTAATTAAATCCAATACTTTGTAATTTCTAAAATTTAACACCTAAATTGGGGTGTTACATCTTGACTATTAGAAGTTAAAAAGTGGTCACCCAACTATTCATATGTTCCAAAATCACCATTTCCGTTAAAAACCTGATTCTCTTCTGAGTTGAACGCTAACTTATTGATTGAGATATGATAAAATTATATTTTAATGGTGTATACTGACACCGTCGTTAGTTTCAAACACTGACTCGGTAGCATAATGTTTTAAACACTAGTTTGATGGCATAATATAAACATATATTTGATTCATAAAATACAACTAGATTATAGGATCATATTTTATCATATCTAAATTAACAAGTTAACGTCCATCTCATACGGCCATCAATATTTTAACGGAAAATGATGAATTTGGAATATATGAATAATCGAGTGACAATTTTATAACTTTTAATAGTCGAATGACTGAACAAAACAACTTCCTATAGTTGGATGATTATTTTGTAATTTTTAATAGTTAAGAAATTCAACAAAACAACGTCGTACAATCAGAATCATTTGTAAACTTTATTTAAATATATATATATATATATCATAAAAGATATTTTATTTAAGTGTTTATAATTTTTAAAAATAATTTAAAATTATCCATATTAATAACAGAGATTCAGATTTCCTAATAAAGATTTTGTTGTACCATAATTTCCTCGTAAAGATAAACCCAAATCAGTACAAACGACAAATAAGGAGGATCTATCAAAATAAACAAATTAACCTTCCAACAAAATGTCTAATTACAATATCATCCATCAACATTTTCCACATTTCCATTTCAGGACTGAACAGCGAACGGATGATCCCTCCTATATAAACAAAAATTTAAGCTTAAACTTTTCGTAAAGCAGAATCATTTTCCCAGAATCTAACACCTTGTTTTCTCTTCTTCTCTCTTCAGAAGGAAAATGGCGGCTAATTTTATAACTCAAGCATCTCTGGTTCAACCAAACCCTTCCCTTCATGCTAAAACCCTTCAAAACCCATCTCTGTCTCGCCTCTCCAAGCTCTCTCCTTCATCAAGTTTAATTTTCTCTCTCCATTTTTTGGGGTTTTTTTTTTTTTTTATCACCAAGCTCTCTGCTTTATCTGTTTTATTCTGGTTTGCAGGTTTTTGTTTTTTGCCGAAAAACAGAACTTTGGCTGTTGGAAAACTGTTATTGGCATCGGCTGTATCCGACTCAAAATCTTCAGTTTTGGAAGATAAGAAAAACAACAAGAACCCCATTATCGTCATTGACAATTATGATAGTTTCACCTACAATCTTTGCCAGGTTTGATTGATTGCATATTCGAATTTTTTGTATTTTTTTCTTTTGATTTCTCTTTGTTGTCCTTACTTGGTTCTGAATTGCTGCAGCATAAAAATCTTTAGGAAAATATGTTTGATTGTTAGGGAAGACTTTTTTTTAACCGAAGATTTGATCATTTAAGAAACCAATTAAACGATTGATAGGAAGAAAATTGTACTGTATGTATATGGTATTAAAAGGGTTTTCTTGTACTATTGATAATTTGTTGTTCTTGGTATATATAATTCATGTCGCTTTTCCAAGGATTTTGCATTTGAAATGAGGTGCTTCAATCATAACTATATTAAAATGCTGTAACTTCATTATGGCTAATTGTTAACTTAAAGCTAATATGTTTTGAAAGTGATTCCTGCTAAATGTTCCTATGTTGTGGTGATTTCAATTTGGGATCCTCAATAGCAAGTCGTGTTCATCCCGTTCCTGTCTTTCTAATTTTGTAGTACATGGGAGAGCTTGGATGTCACTTTGAGGTTTATCGAAATGATGAGTTGACTGTAGAAGATTTGAAAAGGTAAGAACTAAGCTTTTCACTTCATGTAACATGACAGTTACTTGGATGGTAAATGTTTGTTGGTTTACTTGTAGTCTTGAAATGTTCGATTTTGATCCGATAAATTTCTTGTTAATTTTGTAGGAAAAACCCTAGGGGTGTGCTAATCTCCCCTGGTCCAGGTAAGAGTTTAGTAATTACTACTATATTTTTAAAACTATAAATAAACAGAACATAAGAATCTGTTACATTTAAGCATGATGTATATATTTTTATTCTATCCTGAATATAGGAACACCCCAAGATTCTGGAATATCCTTGCAAACAGTTTTGGAACTTGGACCTCTTGTACCTTTATTTGGTGTTTGTATGGGTTTGCAGTGCATTGGTGAGGCTTTCGGAGGTGAGTGTTCTAGGTTACCTTTATGCTGAGAAAGCTAAATTTTTTTTATAGGAACTGAGAAAGCTAAATCGAGACTATTTATGTTTATCATGGAAGATTAGGTGATTGCTTGTGGGATTTTGACATGATTTTTTTACTGCATTGTAAAATGCAGGAAAGATAGTCCGTTCTCCCTACGGTGTCATGCATGGCAAAAGTTCTCCCGTGTATTATGATGAGAAGGGCGAAGATGGGTTATTCGCTGGATTATCAAAGTACGCATCGATACTTCTAATGTGATTCCCAGTTTAAAATTCTCGCACTCTGCTTCAATTATGTGTTATCGATAGTCAAGCTATCAACTTATTTATAATTGTTCCTTAAGCCGTGTTTTCACCTTTCAAGTGTAGATTCCTTGACATCATTTCTCTGAACAAGTTTCAATTTTAGGAACATTTATTTACTTTCATTTTCCTTTATGCTACTACCCTCATGCAAATTGCTAGACATGTGTGAAGTATCTGTTATAATGCATGTTCAAGTGAAAGATTCCGATTTATTTGCATTTACGCCTCAAATTATCAGCAATTCTTAGTATTATTGTGCTTTTTCCAGCCCTTTCAATGCCGGAAGATATCATAGTCTTGTGATTGAAAAGGATAGTTTCCCCGACGAAGCACTCGAGGTTACTGCTTGGACAGAGGATGGACTGATTATGGCTGCTCGCCACAAAGTCTATAAGCATGTTCAGGTAAAATGATTAACTCCATGATACATATCCTTCATTACGAATCACAAAAAAGAGTGATGCTTGTTTGTGCCTTGTGTTTCTCGAAACCATGAAAAATCTGCGTTTAGTTCTTCCGTAAATATGTCTTTCATGAGCACATTGATCAAAAACTGTAGGGCGTACAATTCCATCCAGAGAGCATCATAACATCCGAAGGCAAAACAATTGTTCGCAACTTCATCAAACTGGTAGAGCGAAAAGAGGCCGCTGAATCCCTCACTTAGAGGTCATGTACTGGACAGAATTCCTTGAGGCGTATATGTCAAGCATCAGTAAGTTGCTGATTCATCCTTTTCTTTGATGATCATGTATGTGTTCTCGTAGGACGGTAAATTCTTCCTTGGCTCATGTCGGAATATGTATCGGATTATGATACCGGACACATATACCTTAAGAAAAATGAAAAGTTTGATACTTAGATAAAACCCCTTTTGAATTCCTTTTCAGGGTGTTAGCAAATGCAGAAAAGTGAAGCAAGAGCAGTGGAATGTAGCTTTCCATCAACTTTGCACATGATTTTATGTTGGATAACTATGAATTATGTTTTCTATTTTTCTCTTTGACTTTACAATTCCAGTTCATAACTGGAAATATTTATTCAAAAGAAAGACAATGTTGTATTTATCTTTTTCATAAGTAAAAATAAATTGGATAAATTATGGCCATGACCCTTAATTATGAAAAATTCTTATCCAAGTATCCATCTTTTAATTTTTTTAATTCAGTCTATTTAAATGATTTCAATCAAGTTTCTTAGAAATTGATGTGATAGTTAACAAAATTGATATATTTACACATCTGATTCTAATTATTTATATATTATATTTATTTAGTCTTAATTTTAATTTAATTTAATGTTTTTTCTAATCAGATAATAATATGTATTATTACTTGATTGATTTTTTTTTTGAAGAAATACGGTATTAAAGAGAAGAATTATTTCTTTAATATTAAGGGAAATAATTGTTATAATATAATGTATATATTTATAGCTTTTCATCAACTTTGCATATGATTTTATTTGGGGTTGTCTTTGGATAATTATGAATTATATTTTCTATTTTTCTCTTTTTAGTCTACAATTTCATTTATAATTGGACAAATTTAATCAGAAGACAATGTTGTAGATTTTTTTTTCGAAAGTAAAAATAAATTGGATAAACTATATCCATATCTATAACCATTTAATTAAGGAATATTTTAATCTGAACACTAATCTTTTAATTTTGTTAATCAACTACTTAATTATTTTAATGATGTCAATAAAGTCATTTACTGTTAACATTTGACTGAAGAATTAATGTAACAATTAATAAAATTAATATAATTATACATTTAGTTCTTATTATTTATACATTTTATCATTCGGTTTTAATTTTAATTTAGTTCAATAAATTCTCTTCAATCAAATGAAGATACATGTTGTCAATATCTAGTTGAAAGAAAAATAGGTTAAAGACGATTGAAATTAGGGAAAAGAATTAAACATAGAATCTGAAAAAAAGAATTGAGTTAACCACCGAATTAAATTATACCTTTATAATATGAATTATAACATATATATATATATATATATATATATATATATATATATCTTATATTGTAATTATGAAGAAAAAAATAGCGACAAAAATGTGAAGAAATAGAAGTGAAATGTAGCTTCGCATCGACTTATAAAATTAAAGAAGAAGAATATATATCTTATTTAATACCTAATTGATAACTCTCTAAAATGTTATCAATTTAGTATTTGTTACATAGGTTTAGTTTGAAATTGAGTGTGTTTAAAAGCATTTTAGGATTCGTTTAATCTTAATTACATGTATTTTTGCATTATTAGGAGTTTGGTTAACTTGGGTTAATTTTTTATTTTTCCTACTGAAAAAAGTGTAAAATGCTACAGTGCTGGAATGGATGCTACAACAATTGATGACTCAATGTACTGGGCAAAACATTCTGCAACGGGACAACTGTAATCCACTCTTATAAGCTCCTACAACGTGTAAAACTCTTATAGGAGAGGATTTGACCTCCCTTACCTATAAATAGGGTCATCCTTAGCTCATTTATTCTCCATGAGAATTTCATCATTTATTCTCCATACAATCTTTTCGTCCTTTTTTCATGGCTGTTTTGGCCGTTTAGATGGGAAGTGCTGCAGCATTTGAGGAACAACCTTCGCTAAGTAGCATCAGCAGTCAACAAGAGATCTCTTCAGCCTACTTATACTTCACCTGAGATAGAGAAGTTTTAGTTAGTTGAATTTATATTATTGTGGATGTTAATTGTTCTGAACTTAGTCGTTTGGATGGATACTTTGTTATTATGAATGTCTTTGATTTGCTACATTGTCTTGCACTTATGAATTATGAAAGAGATTTCATTGTTTAAGTATGTTGTTTATTTTGTTTAGAGATAAACTTAATGATATGCATACTAATTTTGTGACCTTGGTGCTATGAGAAGCAAATGTATGTTGAGATATATGCTGCCGTGTTTAGCAAAATTACTAAGTTGATTGATTGTGTTAGTTATCGCTAATTCTTTATTATCAGTTACTTGTAATCAATTCTAAATACAATGTAGTAAGTTTAAATACATGAATTTGGCAAAAAGATCTCTTTTATCATCTTACTCCAATCGATAGCTGACTTTGTTCTATATTTTGTGTTGTAGCATGACCCCGCCTTTCTCTCATTTCTTTCTATCAATTAATGTTTGTTTTGATCACATGCTATTTCATCAATAAATTATTTTACTAACTAATTTGTAAACAATTTTGCTCTCTATGGGTTCGACATCCGAAGTCTTAAAAAGACTTTCACTTTATTACTTGTACGAAACATATGCTTGCTGTTATGGTATAACATTATTATCAACATCACTAATCCATTAAGATAATCGGATTATAACTATATAAATTAATTTTAAGTCAATTAGGTTAATAATTATCCTGAATATTTTAGTTTATAACTATCTTGCACACATAAAATTAATTATCCCGTCAAACTTGGACTCACATTATTGTACTATTTTAACTTAGATCATTCATATTTATTGTACTATTTGAATTTGACCCAAATCATTAATATTCATTGTACCAATTGAATTTGACCAAGTCATTACAATTTATTGTACTACTTTTATCGGTGGATATTGAACCATTAACCTCATGATTAAGAGATATGACGAGTCACATTATATTTTTTAATTATATTATATAGCTATTTTATTTAAATTTATAGTACAAAAATATGAAATTAAAATAATAAATGAGCTAATCAATAGGGATTGGTTCAAGTGGTAAGCACTTTAATATCATTTAAATAAGACCTTAAATTTGAGTTCGGATTAGTCAAGGTGAAACTTTAAAATCGAGAGGGCAACAAAAATAAATAAATGAGCTCCAACTATTCTAGCATTCTTACTGAAATATCACCCTCGGAACCATTTATTACCTTTCTAGCACTCTCTCTCCTAATATTACCAATCTAGCACCTTTTGTGACAAAGCGTGAATCACCATCCGCATCATCGCAATGTTCTGTCCGAGCTGGTGTCACGTAAAGGAATGTGCATATCGTCATCTGCGCCTTTGTTGAACCTTGACATATATGGAAAACGCGGATCATGAAGCGCGTCTTCCATGAGAAATGTTGACATGACACCATGTGAGAAGGCACGTTTCAAGAGGCATGCCTTCCAAAGTCCGTATCATCCTTCAAAGTATTTTAAAAAAATATTCTTTTAAAAAAATAAAACTATAGGGACTAACATTATAATTTAATACATATTAGTTTCATGAATTGAAGAGCTTAATGAAGTTATCTTATATAGATATATTGGAGTGTTTAGGTTATGTTTCAAGCTAAGAGGTGCATTCCTTAACTTTTTATCTCTATATCTAATGAATCTACTTATACAATATTTTTAAAAAGTTAAAGTAGATTCATTAGATATAGAGATAAAAAAAATAACAAAATACACTACACTATTGTTAAAAAAGTTAAAATAGATTCATTAGATATAGAGATAAAAAAGTTAAGAAATACACTTTTTAACTTTTATCTCACATTGTGAAGAAACATAACCTAAACACTCCAATATGCCTATATAAGCCAACCTCATTAAGTTCAATTTATGAAACTAATATGTATTAAATTACGATGTTAGTCCCTATAGTTTTATTTTTTTTTAATTTTTTAAAGCATATTTTTTAAAAATACTTTAAGGGATGATATAGACTTTGGAAGGCTTGCACCTTGAAACGTGTCTTCCCTTACGTAGCGCTATATCAACATTTCCCATGGAAGGCGCACGTCATGATCCGCGCCTTCCTTATATGTCAGAGGTTCAGTGAAGGCGTGGATTACAATATGCGTCTTTCCTTACGTGACGCCAGCTCGGACAGAATCCTGCAAAAGCGTGTATCGTCATCCGCGCTATTTTATCAGAAAGGGTGTTAGATCGGTAATATTAGGAGAGAGAGTGTCTAACATGTAATTAATGAGTCCGATGGTGATATTTCGATAAAAATGCCAACTATTCTAGCCTATATGAAGTTAAAGATATGTTCTTCAACTCACCCCTGCAATGGTTGGTTATCACTCACCAATATTCTTTATTTTTTTTCTTTTAAGTTCTAATAATTTTGTTTTTATGGAACATATTTTTTCATGGCATATTTCCTTTTATCTTTTGATACGTTTTCGATCTTTTATATCGGTCGTTTGGTCATTTTTCTGTTTAATTTTCTCATTGTTAGATTTGATATCGCCTCGACTGATCAAGATGACGTTAATATGTTATTTTGTTGACATTCTCTACTTTGGACCCTCAGATTGTATTTAGATACACTAATAGTTTCATCCCTTATTGTGGTTCATTTAATACTTTATTGTTGGTCACCATCTGTCGATATTCCTTGTTTTTCATCTATTTTCTTATATAACATCTTTATTTTTCTTTTGTTTTTAATTTCTAATAACTTTGCTTTCATAATACAATTTATGGCACGTTTTTATGCCTTTTTGACACGTTTTCGATCTTTTCTATCAATCTTTTGGTCATTCCTTTTTGTTTAATTTTTTAGGGTTAGATTTGATATTGCATCGGCTTATCAATATGATGCTTATTTGTTATTATGTTGATATATCCTGCTTTGGACCTTTGGATGAATTTGGATATATGATTTGTGTTTGAATATAGTTTTGTTACGACACTCGACTCTGTCGCGATTGTCAATAGTCTTTCAATAGCTTAATCCTCTATTTTGGTTCATTTGTCGATGCAGTCAGATCTATTCACATCTTTATTTTATTCGAGCTTTTTTAGATGTGTTTTTAACATTTTTCTTGTATGACCTTAAGTGACTAGTTTCGCATCAATAATAATAGGAGATATCTTAATTATGAAT